GTAACTGAAAATATGGATGGAGGACCTCAGTTTAGCTTGTTTGTTGTGCTAGCACCGAGCTAATACATATAAGGCAAAATGGTGTCAGCGCTGAGTCATTTCTACCTTCTCCTCTCTGTCAACGCTCTCTGGCTTCATTTTAAAAAGCCAATCATCAGATATTGTCCAAGATTAACCTTCAGGGTGGATATAGCTCGCTCACACCGAGGACCTATCCACGTCATCATTTACCCAGAATAATTTGTGTGTAAATAAAATGGCCCCGTCCATGTAATATATTTTTAAACTTTTAGTTTAAAAATGATAAAAACTAAACATCCTACAGCATTTTTACAGTCTTTATTTTACAGTTAAAATATATGTTTATTAAATAAAGTCTAATGTTACAACTAATCATGGATCCCTTTAAGACTTGACTCAGGACTTGAGGCTAAAGACCTGAGACTTGCAAAACAAGGACATGGACCAACCTCTGTTACAAAGCAGCAAAAATAGTTTTTTCTAGAGGTGGTCCCACTGATGATCAATACATCTGATCAGCAGCTCCTGGCTGTTGCTGAACTTCTGTCATCATGAGGAAGCAGCAAGACTAAAACCTGTTTTTACTCATAGATTTTGTGTTTTGCTTTAGATTCATAAAGAGTGACAGAGCAGAATCAGATGTTTTTGTTCACTTGAGGTTAGAATTGATTGTCTTGGGGAAGACCTGATCAGTTTCACTACGTCCTGAAAGGTAGAACCTAAAACTAAAAAATAGTGGATTTTTTTAAAATATACAATAACTGTATAAAAATAGAGAATCCCAGTTTAAAGTTAATACCCTGACCATTCTTTGTAGAAAACAAAGAAAACCAAAAGGATCTAAGCCAACATTATCTGAATTTGTGTTGGTTTCCATCAGGACCCCACATGTGGAAGTTATAATGTGCAGCCACAGAAAACAACACAAACAGCATAAATGAGGAGGACAAACAAAAGGCAGAAAAACACAAAGCATTTCAGAGGTTCATGCATTATACATCAGGACAAGATCATCAGCATCACAGTTGCCGGCGGCCGATGAGACGCTGCGAGGGATGAAGGAGGTTGGAGCTGCGGGGGCGGGGGGATAATGGGATGTCTGAGGCAGGTGTCTGAGAAGCTGAATGAGACTTCTGCTTGTTTGTTTGTGTCTGGATTTGGACAAACATTCAGAGATGAAGTGATCCCACAAGGGAAAACCTGACTTTCCAAAATAAAGCTTCACTATGCTCTGTAGTTAATGTTGAAGAGGCAAAACAAGCCTGGTGAAAAACATGCTGACGTCACCATTTAGAAAGCATTATTACATTGTTTACTTTTATATTTTTTATATGGAGTGTTAAGATTTGATATTAGATCAAACTGTTTACAGATTCAAATTTCAGCTGGAATAATTAGCTAAAATCATCCCGACAGGTTTTTAAAACATTAATTTTAAAAGAATTTAAATAGTAATGTAACTGCAATATTTCACAAGGCAGGTATATGGTTGAATGGAGTACTGATATAACTTTGGTAGTGACAGGGGGTTATATTATTTTATTTTCATTTTTGTATATCTTATTGCTTTTCTTGTAGGCCTAAAATAGTTTTGTAACATTTTCTTATTGTATTTTGTTTTCACTCTGTCAGTTAATGTGCAAAAAGTCAAAACTATATGGAAAATTCATTTAAAAATATTTTGAATCTAAAAGAATTTAAACAGGCAGCATTCAGTGTTTTTCAATGAAAATATACCCTTGTGTTGTATTTGCAATAAAGCATGTAAAATTAAGTATTGGCATGTTTTCTAACCATACTAAATGCTTAATGTTCCTGAAGTTTCACAGCGCTGCACGATTTCTTTTGTAACTTTTCTGGAAATGAAAAATGCAGTTTTCTTATTCTTTTTCAGAAGTAAAGTTTGCGTAGTCAACGTGCTTCTTAAAAGAGGGGAAGTAAAAATAGTTTTCTTCAGTTTTTTTAAATTTATTTTTGTTTCATTTTTGTTCAATAAATAAAAGACATGTAAGCATCTGTTTTGTGTTTCTGTTCACTTAAGATTAGATTTGAATTGTTTCAGAACATGGAAAAGACCTAATCTGTTTTATTATGTCTTGAAAACCCTAGAATCTGAATGATTGTATGAGTGCACCTGCTGGATGTACATTTAAATATTATCACCAAACAACTTCAGCAAACATTAAGGGTGCACAGCCTGACTTCTACACCGTAGGTCTTGAGGCTCAAATCAGATTTTTTGAAAGAAAGAAAAAAGATATTTTGGCATGAACGTTCAATATATTCTAAATACACATCCATCTGACTCCAGTATGAACTCTTCACGGCCCTGATGCAACCCACATGCACAGAAGCTGACATGAAATCACATTCAGCTTGACGTTTACAGAAATAACTGAAGATGGACGCTAAATGTTAGCATGTTGATTCTGAAATTGTTCAATTAGACACTATTAAATAATTATCCGACATGTTCATGTCATGAAAAAAATCCAATATTGGGTCGCAGGGGGCAAAAAAAAACCTCTTCAAATTTTCAGACTGAAGACACGGGGGACAAATCATCAAAATCCCTCCCTCTGCCCCCTCACAGTACTCCCAATGTAGCACATATTGCACATAGCTAAGCATATAAGAAACAACAAAAGTGACAGCAGTTGTTTTTCATTCGATGAGATGGTGGAAGAGAGGCTCGTATTGTTTAATGAGGAGTCAGGAGAGGAAGATCTAAGTTTTTCTTCTAATTAACCGGAGAGAAGAAGAAAAGAAGCAATGAATGTCGATGGCATGTGTGCAAGCTCAATAGGATCAGACAATTTGCTCCTCTAAACTGGCCATGTTGTTATTAAAGCATTCCGGAGCTGACTTTTTTTAACGAAATAACATGCAGAAGAATGAACTGAAACACGCCCACCAAGTTATGACCAATCACAATGTGAGCCACATAGGTCTGCAAGACCCAGTTCTGACTGCATCCGATGGAAATAAACCAAAGCTACACAACTTTCATCACACAAGACTGTAAGCAAGACTTGTAAATAGAAGTATAAATCAGCCTTAACGGTATGAGACATGGTTCAGTACAACAAGAAAATGCAACAAATGCCAAATTCTACTTCCTTTTTTTAAGACAATAACATTGCCCTGAAGGCAAAACTCTTCATTAACTGATCGGTCTACATTACAACCATCACCTATGATCATGTGGTGTGGATCATGGCCTAAAGAACGAAATCTGAGATACAAGTGGTGAAAATGAGTTTCTTTGTAGGGTGGCTGCCTAAGACAGGGTGAGGAGCTCCGTCCTCTGGGAGGAGCTCCGAGTTGAGCCGCTGCTCCTCCACATCGAAATAGCTCAGTTCAGATGGTTCAGGCAAATTAATAAATACTTAAATATGCAGTGTTTATGTCTTTCTGCTCTGGGTTAAGAGCAAAAAAACCCAAATAATAAATCACTTCTATTCCAACATGACAGTTCTATTTTAAAAAGGAACAACAAAGCTGCTGTATTAATAGTGAAACAATGAACTGCAAGCAATAAGTTTAATTACTTTTAAACATCTCCCCCATTAAACATTTTTTGTAGCTTTAAATACTGAAAAATCAAGCTTACTATCAGGTTTTTTAAATAAAAAATAAAAACATCTGAAAACAAGTTAAAGAACGTTAAATAAAAGTTAAACTTAAAACCAACTGCAAACTCTCTCGTTGCAGTTGTCCCACATTTTCTCCACTGTGGTTAGGATGTGATGTGGAATCGAGGGACCATTCTGTTTATCAGACTGATGCTAAAAAAAACGCATAAAAGCAAACATTTGAGCCAATTGTTATTGTAGTTTACACATTTTTTTGCAATATGCCTATTGCACAGGCGTTCTTGTGATTATGATAACTTTTCGATGTATTGTACAGCCCTAAAACAAATGGTATTCAACAAAATGTTTTAAAGCACTAATTATTTAGCATAACTGCTTGCCATACTTGAACCTCTTGTCGTTCTTTGCTTCTGCTGTTGATCATGATTGGGAAACATTTACACACAGCAGTGTTGAAACAAGCATTCATGTTTGCTTGATATTAGATAGCATCGTTCACTGCCTCTTTACTGTAGTTACTCTATTTATTCATGTATAATACGATCTCATGTATAATACGATCTCATGTATAATACGATCTCATGTATAATACGACCCCCCACACACACTTTTTTGAGCTTAAAAAGCATAAAAAATTTAATCCTCAAACTACCTCCAATTTCAGACAGACTTCAAGATTTTTCAGCCTTTGCAGTCTTTATACATACAACAAATATAGTATATCAGCTGTAGCAGCATCATATGAATTCTGGTATTTTACACATAGTCCACCAGGATGCACCAACACAAAAGTCAGAGACTTCACATGAGATTTGGGCCATCTTCTGGGGGAAAAGCAGATTACTTCCTACTAGCGAGCACCCCCTCTGGTGGGGAAATGTTTTTTCAGGGATACAAAATTTTTCAGAACACCGGTAGACGGCAGCCATTACAGACGAACGTGTTTGTTGTTGTTCGAGGAGCGGCCCGGTCACACACTAATGTCAGCAGTTCGTTATCATTACTAAGGTGCAGGACTGCTTCCCCACCTTTTTTTTCACATCATGTCGCCTGCCTGGAACTATTTTTTATCTCGCTCTGAAGAATGAAGTAGTGTCAGAGGTAGGCTCGTTTCAACTGCTTTTTACAACGCTGTCTCATTTCTGCACTCAGACATTTTGCTAATATTTCAGTTAAAATACATAAGTAAAAATATTTATCCGATTATAATACTACCCCCAACTTTATGGATGATTTTATGGATTAAATTTTACGTATTATACTTGAATAAATACGGTAAATAAAAAGTGCACCTGCTTTGAGATTCTTGTATGTCATGATGGTTCGGTACAGTTACAGCCCTAACAAACATCCAGCGAGACGACAGATGAGGACAAACCAAGCTGGAGCATACATGTGAGGGGAGGTGGGGACATGCAGGGGTGAGCTTCTCCCCTCAGGTCACACTCACCTTGTGCAGGGTTGCCATAAGTAGCTGGGCCAGTGCCAGTGGGGGCTGTGGAGACGGGGAGCTGGGGAGGGGGAGGAGGCACAGGCGGGATTTCTAAAGGCGGGTTAGGGGCTTGTGGCGGGGCGTCTACGACAGAAGAAGGAGGCCCCGGGGTGGTGGCAGTGTTAGGGGGAGGTTTAGCTGTGTTGGATGGGGCGGGGGCTGAACCTGACGTGTGGAATAAAAGGGTTAAAGGTAAGAAGGGAGAGAAAACACAGGTGGAGGTGAGGGTTAAGTCAGAGTGAGAATGAGAAGAAAATTACACCCAGAGCTCCTGAATACAGGAACTCTCCATTAAACACATCAGTCAGGTTAGTTAGAGGCCAAATGAGTCGGGGAAAAGAAAATGTAAGGCGTTACCTGGGAAGGCTGTGGGCGGAGCTGGGGTTGGCACGGCGATAGGCACGCCCACACTGCCGCTACCGCTGTTCTCTCGGCTGCTGCTGCGACTGCTGCTGGGATGGCTGCCACCACTGCTCCCACTGCTGGTGACGAGGTAGCAAAAGATGTCAGAACAGTCATTTACTCACACACAGGAGTGCTGGGCACATACAAAAAGCAACAAACAAAACAAAAAACCCACCCTGTTCTTCAGCAGAAACAAGAGCGGCTACGTTTAACCATCTCCAAGCATGAAGACCTGGTCTCACTCAGGAACTAAACTCTAAACCTTAAAACTGGTTTGAATTTACTAACAAAATATTTATTTACTCAAACAGATAAAAAGTCCTGAGATGGCTCCTCGGATCCCGAAAGCAACTTGTTGCAAAACAACAAAACCAATCCAAGGACCTTTTGTCTTACTTTAGAACAAAAAACAAAAACATCCAAATAGTTGTCCATGTTTCATGTCAGGTAGTTGAGGTTGTTTGATTCAGTTTATTAAAAGCAGCACTGATGTGTCAGCAATGGATAAAGACAGACGCAGCAGGACAAAGACAGATATGACACAGTGTTAAAGCTGGAAGCATCGGGACATGAGGAAGACTTCCTGTTGACAGCAAAGAGGCTGACAGATGAGAAGGATGAGCTGTGAATGGAGCGGTGCAGGTGAAACACTCGAGAGGAGGGGGAGGAGGAGGAGGAGGAGAGTCGAAGGGAAGATTTGTGACTTTGTTCACAGAGCAGAAAATAGAAGTGTTGGGCCAAAAATATATATATAAAGGGGGGGGGGGGTTGGGGGGTTACAGAGACAATAATTTTCCTTGTTCTCATGTTATTTTCTTCCCTAACAAGTTGCAGAAAAATGGAAAAACACCTCTGCCTGTCTGGGATGTTCGAAGTTCAAAGGAAACGAGCCGACAGGATGACTGTCACTATAAAAACCTTCATGTGGCAGAGCTAAAATAGCTCCCAGGCTCCACTTCGACCTAAATTCTGAGTCCAACTGGGCTGCTCCTTGGAACTACAGCTAAAAGAACAAAAAGCTTTGAGTGGTCCAAAACAGGTGGGACATAACATAGTAAGGTGATTAAAAAAATGAACAAATTGAAGAAGAAAGATTTTCCTAAAAGTTGTTGGTATTTTAAATGCAGCAGAGAAGAAAGGCCAGAAGATTGAGGAAAAAGGGGATTTGTTTAAGGAAGTAAACAGAGGCATGCTGGGAGGTGGGAGGGGGTGGGGGTACCTGTACGTGCGGTTCCTCTGATTAACGGATGCAGTGCGTGCAGGGCTCGGCGCCACGTTGCGCGTCGGGCTTGAGACGTAGTCGTTAGGGACAACGGGAGGACGCACCGGCTCGAGCGTCCGATAGGGGGAGTGGCGCCTGCGAGAGGGTCAGGGGGTGGGGAGCCCAAGAGGTGAGGTGAGGTAAAAAGAGGGGCGGGGAGGGGGATGCATCCAAGAGGGAGGTGTTTGGGGGGAGGAGGGGGAAGAGGAGGGGGAGGAGAGCAAGAAACAAACAAGTGCAAACTTAAAAAATGTGGAATGACAGGTGGTGAACATCGGGACAGACTGTGGTCAACAGGTGATGTTTGAGGAAACCACACGGCTGCTGTGGGCTGAAGAACACCCCCTCTGCCACCATTAATACCCTCATTTCTGCTTTGAAGACACAAAAACATGACAACAATCAAATGACTCAATCTTATTTAAATTGAATCTATTACTCTGGAACATTGAACAAACCTGGCTTGATTCAAAAATAATCTTTATGTTGACCTAAACAGAATCATATTAATGTATTTAAACTGAAATCCTTAACATAGGTTTCAGGTTTATTTAGACATTTTAGTACAGTTTACGTCTATCACCTCAATGATAAAACTGCCTACAAGTTTTCAGCAAAGATGCACCAAGTTTGAATTTCTGGGTTGAAAGAGATTGTTTTTGTGCAGCTCTGACCGGATGAGATCACTTTAATCTGGTTAAATTTAACAGAATACTGTGATTTGTTTTCCCAGTTAACCCAGTGTTTTCACCTCACAATTATGATTACTAGTGGTGTCTCTGTATCGATACCAGTATTGGTATTGGGCCAGATACCAGCATTTTTGCAAGTGCTTGTACAAAATGCCCCAATATGCAGAACCAATATTGGGATACTAGTATTGATACTCCATTGAATTATTTGTTACAGTTTACATTTCAAGAGAAAAGTTGATAGTTTTATGTTAAAAAAAAATACAAGTTATGGGAAAGTCTCTTTTTTATTTTAAAATGTTGCAACATGAGGCTGCATATTTGATCTGATCCAGACTGAGGAGCTGTTAGGCCTATAAGGAAGGTGTTCTAAATAAAATTATTGTCTTTTTAAGGTCAGTGAGTAATGTTTAGGTTTTAACTCTGTAAGTACTTGATATCAGCAAGTAACCAAACTGAAATACTCATTTGGTTTAAGAAACACTAATATCGGAACACCCCTAATGATGACACTGAAAAAACGTTTATGATATATTATTAACAAAAAATCTTGAAAGTATGACTACAAATAATATGTAGAATTTTGTACAGATCACAAATTTACAACTAGTTTTTAATTTTATAGTTATGAATATTATTAATGTTATTACAACATACATCAGAAAATATGAAGAGTAAAAACTGTTGTCTTCACTAACTAAATATAAAATAATGTATAAAAATTATTTGTTACAGAAATATACTAAGTTTTGTTACAAATTTGGTTAGAATTTCATTGGAAATTGTATTTAATAGGATCTATAAGAAAGATGATTTGATTTTGATAATGTATGAATAAAAAGTGAAGACATAAAAAGCTTAAGACTTCTACCTACACTTTTTTTTTTCAGTCTATGCCTTGTCTTTTTTGACACTGACAGGAATTTAAAGATTGTGTATTATTTTATTTCTGTATTTTTGTTTTCCTGTAGTTGTTCAGATGGACCGGTTTTGGTGATTTTTATATTCAAACAATAAACAATAAATCTAGAGCACTTAATAAAATAAGCTGCAGTGGGTTTGATAAAGATAATTTAATTGTGGCTATATTCATCTGACTTTTTTTAAAGAAATTACAGATTTATAGTTTTTACACCAGTAAAAGCCATAGGAGACCCAACTACACTTGGAGAAAAGTTTAAATTTGAAATTGCACACTAGTCTGATTTTTGAGTTTCAAATTTAACCGACTCGAGCTTAAAAATCCTCTTGGATATTTTGGTGCATCTTTAAAGTCATTAAAATAACAGAAACCTCCTAAAAGTTACTTTTAATTCAACAGATGAGTCAGTTTTTAAACAAAGAGAAGAAGAAGAAAAACCCTGAGGTCCAGAGATGATCAAAGAAACGCTGCTGCTCTGCAGGCAGCTGACTTATTGCTGCTTTGGTAAAATGTTGTTATGAGGCAGCCAGAAGTGGTGATCTGAGTCACAAACACACAACTGAGAGAAAAACTTCAAAAAGAAAAAGTGAAGAAATAATGGAAAATCTGAAAGATTTTTCCCCACATGCTGGGGTGCAACATAGAAAGCTGGAGCTGATTGCTATGGTACTTGAAGAGATGCGCGCACGCGCACACACACACACACACACACACACGCACACACACACACACACACACACACATTAAATACACACATGTAAAGATTGTGATTAT